ATGTAATAGTTATGTTCTCGTTTGTTGTGTGCATGGGTGAGTGCAGAATAGGACCTTTGTAACACCATTGTCACTGTATGCGACCAAGGCATATATATACAGTAACATATTATTAACAGTACTTTGTGTTCTGAACAAAGACAGACATGAACTCTTCGTCTGTACCCCCACAAGTGAGGAAAATATTCTCAGACACCGGTGTTTAAGAAATGTCCCCCCGAGCAATAATGGAATTATCTGATGAAATTTGCAGCGTCCTAATTCCTCTGCTAAGTCTTGATAAAAATCTTTCGACACGAATTTCCAAAATGTGTGAATCGTTGAACAGGCCCGAAATAGAATCAATCCTTGAAAATGTCGTTTTTAGTTAACATTCAAAGAAGATTCGTATTTGTGTTCATATGATATAATATTTATACATAGGAATGAAGACTGGATGAGAGTGAGAGACAAGGTGCGTGAGAATGTTGTAAGGATGCTCAAAACTTTGACTAGTGAAATCAAAATTGTTTGGTGTTTTTATTTTTCACTTCTTTAGACTCATATATTGCTGATACTCAGAAACTGTTTGGTCTGTTGTTCTCCATTCTATTTTTTCGAAAAGGTAACCAACAGTGGTCAACACAAGTAACCTACTGTATGTGGAGAAGGGCGTGGAATTCTCCAACAAATATACGGAACTATTAGATGAAGATTAGCCATGGACAAATTTATAACCGATGTGAGTGGTGCTTATTCGTTTAACTAAAGGAGTGAAAGACTACATTCTTTTAAAGTATACAAGAACAGTCTACAAAGCGAGCCTACTGTGTGTTGAGTAGGGCGCCGAATTCTTCAACAAATGAAAATAATTAATGGAAGAGTTACTAAATATGAGACCATTAAAGAAACAAATTATAGTCTATGGCATGGGTGATACTGATTTCTTAAAAGAGAAGAGAAGAAGACGAATAGAAGTGTAGCGGTTAAGCATTTCGTTGTCGCACGCAGAAAGCATTTGTTCGAAACCTGTCGGGGATAATTTTTATTGAGTATCTTGGTCTTTCTTCTGGGATGTTGAGGCCCTCTGACGCTGGGTCTACCCTACCGAGCTGGGTCGAAGCCCGTCTCCTATATGATCTAAATTGTGTATCGATGAGGGTGTAAAACATTAATATAATGTAGATCTATATTTAATCCTTCTTAAGATAAGATTGATCGCGGGAGCCACAGATAGGTAATTACTTCATTTCTTTCTCTCCAAGTGTTTGCCTCTGTCTCTCAAACTTTTTCTCTGGTCTAAATGGCGGTTAGTGTGTTTCTTTTCACATACTATACAAAACAAACAATGACATTAATCTTTATTGTCCAGACACTGGTTTGTTTGGCACTTCACCACACACACGCGCGCGCACACACACATACATATACACGTACACACACATGCACACACACACACACACACAAGCACACACACATATACACACTTACACACAAACACATACGTGCACACACACACCCTCTCTC